TGAGGGGGCAAAACAATCCGGCCATTTGAACAGCTGCTGAAAAAATATTATAATTATATTTTGTACAAGTGCTTCTTATACAAATGTGCCCACTTGTATAACTGTGTGTGTCTACTCTGTATGCAGAAGATACTGCAGTTAAAAAAAGAACTGCTGACTAGTTAGATTTCGGCACACAATCCCGACATGTCAAAAGTCACTGTCACTTCCTCAGATGAGGGCTGACGCACATGAAGATGACAGAAAGGTTGGCCTTGAATTGACTGTGAAATCTGTACGTTCTCACTTGTTTTTATAAAAACGGATTACTGTCTTTCTCACCTCTTCCCATCTCCCCCGCTTTACACCTGTCAATCTCAGTCTCCTCTCGCAAGACATTAATTCATTTCCAGCATCAGCAACTGTCTCGTCCCCTCAGCACCCCGACTCTTTCTCCAGCTCCTGTCAGCTCTCCGGCGCGGGGTTGTGTGAGTTTGTGGGTGGTCCACAGGTAGAAAGTAATGGAATGCAAATGTGCTGATCTGTCGCAGCGGAGCAGACTGTGTGTGTCTATGTGTGTGCAATGTGAGTGTACCAGGCTGTAGTTAATCCGCTGCAGGGTTTTCTGGGCTTGTGCCACAGCAGTAGGAACATTTCTCCTGGGCTCTCCTTTCATTGCTCTGGGCAGCGTCCCCTGTCTGGAGGGCGCAGGGCAGGCGACGGCACCGACACACCGAAGGCCCGGTTTAATACCATCAGAGGCGGTTGGCCGGGCTTGGGCGCCATGGTGTGACATCTTAGACAGGGACTCAAACAACCCTGGTGCGAATTACCCAGAGCCTCACCCTCTCCCTCCATTTCTTTTTTTTTCTTTTGTTGCCTGTTTCACTCTCTGATAGCCTCACTGTCTGCTGCTGCTCTAACCCATGAATCATCTGAGTCACTGTGTTTCTCTCTCTGTGGACTCCCATCCTCTGATAACTCGATTCTTCCTGTTCATTTAGTACTCCTCCATTTTCTCCTCGTGTCCCCTCATTTGTTCTCCTTTTTTGTCTCCATCTCCCTTTCTAATTTGACTGCCCCTTCCTCTTCTCCCAATTCTATATGTCATCTCTTTTTTACCCTTACCCCTATACTCTATTCATCCCTCTTCCTCTCTACATCCATGCATGCTTTTTTGCAGACATGTACCTGCAATGAAACGTAAACTGGCTGCACACCAAGCCTGCCTGCACACTCATATTGTTATCGCTCAAATACCTGATGTGCCTTTTAGAGAGCGAGAAGCACTTGTGCAGAGTAAGAGGGCTTAGCTTTATTGAAATGCTGAATCACAGCAGTTGCAGCAGTGTCCGTGTATGACTCCAAAACTGGGTTTCAGAAAAAACCTGCTTGTGCCAATCTGTTAACGCCAGAGCAGAACTCCTGTCTCCACTTAAGTTCCAGCATCTTTATTATAGGGTGTTTGTTTACTGACAAGAAAATATGTGTGTTTGGTGTCAAGGGCATGGATCAGTTTGGTGTAAGCATTAAAGAAAAAGGAGAGATAGAAGGTGATAAAGTGAGAGATGACAACCAGAGAGATGACTTTTTATTATCAGGCTTTACAGTATGAGCTTGTGGGTGATGAGAGGTGATTCTGCGCTGTAAGGTGATTGAATTTACACGCTGCCATCTTAAAAGGATGTTACATTGAGACGTTTTACATCAAGCATAACACTTAGCACAATTTACTCAGTCAGAACCAGTCCTTAAATCTTTTTAATACCCTTTTTTATGATTTTAAATTAAATATATATACTAGCAATCTGAAACAAGGTTCTTGGGAATGCTAAAATGTTGACTTTGCATTGACCCTAGCCTTTTTGATCCAGGAGAGAACATTAAGCTTGAAAGGAAGTGCAGGCAGTGTAGAGGAATATATTTACATGTAAATGGTTGTGTTTTGTTTAATCCTTTAAAACAGTTTTTTAATCCAATATCAGGGGGGCATGCACCACCCATTCCATATTCAGTGGATGTGTGCTCTTCAGTATAATTTTTTGTTTTAGGTAAGCTTAATGACCTGCGACAGCACACATGAACTGTAATTCAAAGCGGTAATTTGCAGGTGTATTTCACCCTAACATGATGAGGACATAGATTTCACACGGATATTAATGCAAATAAGGGGGAAGTGCTTTGTTCCCATGGATCTGATAATGGGTCATGTGGGTAAACATATTGATATGTATCATATTAGCTATGGGGCTGTCAGGATTGAACTTGTCCCGTGAGGCTGCCCCTACAGACAGTATCAGTGTCACTCTCAAGATTTGCACTATTTGTTTACCTCAAATAGATCATACAAAAGCCCCAACCTTTTAGAGCAACCTGGGCTTAAAAAGACTGCTGTGCTACCAACCTGTGGTTTTCAGATTTGAATGGTAATCCATCTGGTAGGTGTTGAAATATTTCAGTCTCGACCAAAGTGACCGACCAACCTACACCTATCTTTCCATCCATAGAGCCAGCATGTCTTTTCAGGAGTTTAAATGTAAATGTGTTTGTATAGCTATCATACACACGTGGTGCTGCAGTTCCACAGATGTAAGACTTCTGGATGCCAGCTGCATGCTCGAGCTCCTCTCTCATTGTTCACCTCCCAATAGTAAAGCATATGGCAGGGAGAATTATCCCACCACACTGCCAAGGTTAAACACACAGAACGCTACCATCTCACAGTCTCTCTTTCTGTCTTTCCCCTTATCTCTCTTCTCTTACTTTAGGTCAAAAGTGTTTTTTTTGGCAGGACAGATTCCAATTATTTTTAGAGATAATATATCAAAGAAGGTGAATTTAAAATCCTAGTCAAACCTAAAGAAGACTTCAAATGAATCAGTTATCAGTCTGCACTCGTTGCCCTTCACATTTCAGCAAGCTCTTCAACTTCTTTATCCCTTTTTTAAAGCCAGGATCATTTTTGAGCCGCTCTCTCTTTGGGTGCTTTAAAATGTCCCAAATTGCCCGAACATGACCTTTCCTCACGGAAAAACCTGGTGGTGTTCAGGAGATATAGTCGTAATTTCACTTAAAGCCAGAACGTTTCTTTATCTAAGGGGTGCATGCTTTCTCTTCGATGGTGCAGTCTGTCTCTCTGATTCTCTTTCACTCTCTTTCTGCCTAGCTATTCTTATTTCCCCTGTGCACGCTCTTTTATTCATCCTGTCACTGCCTCTCTCAGACATCAATGCTCTCTTGTCCATCCTTTGCCTCCTCAGTTCATCCGTCTCTCAGATTTTTGGGAATTTCCTCTACTGCCTTTTTCCATCTCCATCACTGCAGCTCGTTTGTGAATGTCTTCTCTCAAATATCCACCTTCATCTGTCCTCATCTCTCTCCATGACCTTTATTGCTCCTTCCTTCCTTCCTTCCCTCCCTCCCTCCCTGAAGTGACTGGCCAGATGCTAATGTGTTGTAGAGAGCACACAGTGGCTGAGAGAGGGTATTTAGTGCCAACAGTAGCAGGACGTCCCGGACAGTGCAAGTACTGGTGTTAGCATTGTTAGCATCATCAAGTGTGTGTGTGTGTGTGTGTGTGTGTGTGTGTGTGTGTGTGTGTGTGTGTGTGTGTGTGTGTGTGTGTGTGTGTGTGTGTGTGTGGAAAGAACGGTGCTTGGGTTTGTATGTCTTTTACTGTAATATTTTCTTTGACATGGTTTTATTGCTATGCTTGATATTTTGTTGATGTGGTCTGAATGAATGTGTGACTGTGTGTGCATGCGAGCGTTAGTTACGCAGGGCTGTTGATCACACTCAATGATTGATGACAGGGAGGTCATGGATAGAGCTCACGCAGGCGCTCACGCAGGCTCACACAGAGGACAGAATGAAAAGGAGCCGTGGCAGCATCACGCTACATTAACGGGCCACAGCTTTGTGGACAAAGTGTGTCTTAAACAGAGTGACATTTATTTATCCACCCTCATTTCTTGTGTCTTTATCATGTGGTAAGATATTAGTCAAACCCCATGCAACTTCCTTTCAGCGTAGAACATTTGCCTTTTTAAAAGCATAAATAACTCTGACAATATTCATGCATTTTTTTGAACTTTTGTTCTCATCATTGGTAGATTTCACCGTTCCAAACACACTAAAATGTTAATGACAGAAGCCAGCATTGCGTATTGACTAACATAAATCCGGCTTTAAGCTTTAATCAATAGATGTGATGTGACATGATGCCTTATTGATCTATTTGGGGAGAGATTTCCTCTTCACCCAATTCAAAGAGGTCGGAGCACTGAGATAGGCAGTGAGGGACTTGCTGAGTGACACTACTGCAGGGTGGGTGTGGCGAAACCCTGTGGGCGTCATCGAGCTAAATGTCCGATATACTCACCCCCAAAATCTTGCTTGTATGAGACATCATCATAAATGTCACAAGTCTCTTAGGTTGTATGAATAGCTGCTGGAATGTGCAGGTGTGTGTCTGCCTGAGAAACAGGAAGCCGGGATGACGATTATATCCAAGCGTGCCCAAAGAACATTATTCACTTTGCATATTCTTGCACCCCTTTATTCTGCTCCAGCGTTCGGCCAAACTCCGCACTACAGACGTGACAACAGCATGCACGTTCATGTCTGCTAGTGCTGCGTGGCTCTCTCACCTCCTCCCCCTCCTTTTGGGTGCGGAGAGCATGGGAGCGCATGGCCGGATGAGAAGTGAAGAGATGGCTGAATCTTGTTGTGAAGAAGAGGCTCCTACTAGTGCTCCACATTATGTTTCTCTACTCTACAGTTTCCTGTTGGTTAATGGGTTTATTTGTGGTTATGGGATTGTTATTATAAGGGCCGTTATTTAGCAGTGTTAAACGTGTAAAGTGAGCAGCATCACTCACTGATATCATCAAAGAGAAACTTAAACTTGATTTAACATCCAGAATCACACCGCTCTGCGAGCAAGTGGGCTATTATTATCTTGATTTCAACCAACAGCTCTATTTGATTCTGATTTGAACTCCTTGCGCTCCTTTTTCTAGGTTTTCAACACCTACTCCAACGAGGATTATGACCGTCGTAACGAGGAGGTGGATCCTGTGGCCTCCTCCGCAGAGTACGAGCTGGAGAAGAGGGTGGAGAAACTGGAGCTCTTCCCTGTGGAGCTGGAGAAAGGTGGGAAAGGAAATCTTAAGAACATCGTAATGCGGAGGTGGATCCTGTCAGTTACCCAATATACCCAGTAGACCAAATCACCCACATATATGGGATGTCATTTTTATTCTAAGGTGTGATTTATTTTATTTTTTTCGTCTTTCTGCTCTAGTTGTTTTTTCTTATCAGTATTTTGTATCTCCTTTTTCTCCCATTATGACTTTACATTTTGAATAATAACCATTTCAGTCAGACAACTCACGTGTTTCTTAGCATGTTTATTAGAAGCAGCATATAGTTTGAGTTTGGCGTCTAGGCTCGGGCCTCATCACTCCACAGATTTACAAAGAACATTGAGTGATGATTAGATAACTATCCCCCGAGCCTACAGGTGGAAGCTGGGGTGAAGCTTGAAACACAGCAGCAGGAACATGAACATAGCAATATCAAGTGAACAGTGGCAGCAGCAGCATAGTGAGGCAGAGGCAGGAAGACCTGGCAGCTTAAATAGAGCGGCATGTTTAGGAGAATGTGTTTGGTTGGTTGTAAGAGGGACGAGGTGCGTCACGTGGTAATGTATGGTTGGTGCTCGAGTTGACTGCCTGAACTAGCTCGCAGGCTGTAATCTCCCATTCTGAAACCCCTACGTTTAACATATCTTCAATTTTTTTTTACTTTTACCAGAATCAGCCGTCAATTTAACTCAGTGTAAATGTGACCATTGACTTTAGTCAAATAAATTAGAATACATACAGATTATAATTAAAGTAGTGCTTCATGATAATGTCAAAAATGTTCAATTGATGTCATTTGGAGACTGTTTTCATGTTTTTTTATATATATATATAATTTAATGTTGCTTCTTTTCTGTTTTGGACCCTCTTGTATCCAGCGGCTGCACGTTTCTTATCTTTAAACACAATAACTGTTTTTATTTATTTATTTATTGTTGACTTTGTGTTGGAAGATGTTTGACCAAAGGAGTACATTACAGTCACTTTCTGATATTAGAAAACTGATATTTTTGGCCTTTTTTTGCACCCGTTGCATTGTTGACCATTAAAGCACCACACAGTCATGATGAAGAATGTAAAGAGTAAGAAATTCTACTTGTAATGTAAGAAACCCACTGACTAACTAAAGACTGCCCTGACCAAACAGATGGATCAAATCATTGAATTCATGACCTGGAATTAGTTTTCTTCTGCATCGGCTTTCAAATATCCAAAGTATGTTTTATTCATGCTCTGTGTGTGGTTGTGAAATGTGGTCCTGAAGTATTACAAGTTTATTTATTATACAAATAAAAAAATACTAATACATCCTTGTGCGTCTTCTCAAATAATCTCTTCATAGTCCATTTGTTTTTGGTCAGAATTATTGACATTTTCCTGAATGCTATCTCGACAATATCAAAAACACGCAACTGGACACTTTTGTTTTTTGGTGTTAAATATGTACATTAATTGAAGTGCTGAATTTAAAGGAGACCTATCATGCTATATTTGAATAATATATTGTAGGGCCATACCTATATAAGGTATATGTATACGTTTTTTTTTTCAAAATACCAAACAGATCATCCATTTCAGCCATGCCTCATTTTGCTCTATTTTGCTCCTCCACCCTGTCTTTGCATGCGCTGAAGCTGACCACGCCCCCCTGCAAAGGAGGGGGCCGAGTTACAAGCGTCATGTTACCATGCTGTTACCATGGCGTTACCATGCTGTTACCATGTTGTTACCATGCTACTGCAACCTCTCATCCCCCTGATTGGTGGAGAGTTGCCCATATAGGCGGAGCTCCTCGTCACTGACGTCATACTATTTTCAAATCTGTATCAGTCTGTATCAGATCCGTTGCAGCCCCGTTTTTAGAGATTTGGGTATGGAGGAAAAGAGTGTTGTGTTTTCTGACACTTGGTGAGTTCCCTGACACACCGGGGACACATATTCATGTTTGAAAGACGTACAAAAGTGCATTTTGCATGATAGGTCACCTATAACAGGTAACATTTTTGAGGAACATGTACTTTGAGTTTTTCCAGGAAAATATGGCACCTTTTACCTCAGCTTTTTTACTATTATTCTTAAACAAAACCCATAATAATCTTTTAAAATACCATATATTTTTCGGAGATATTTTATTAGTACTTTTACCCTCCATAAAGTACATTTTGATGATATGTACTTTAAAAAAAATGTTTTGAATGCATGGATTTCGCTTGAAGTATGTATATATTGTAGTATGAGAGTGTAGGTGATATTAAAACACACAAGTGAGATAAACAAAAGTAGCGTTTATTTAAATCAAACTGCTTCAGTAGTCACAAAGTACAGCCAGCTTATAAACAATGTTGCTACTCAGATATAAAGGTTTTTTAATGTTTTTATTAAATAAGCAATCTTTGGGTTTTCCAAAGGAATGCTGAACCGGTGTGGTCCAGTATGTGCAGCGAAATCACAGATTGGGTACAGAATGATCCTGAGACGCCTCTAAAATCTACTGTATGCATAGATGTAAACATGATTGTATTTTTTATGAAAAAAAGAACTGTTTCAAAAACAGTGATTTGGCCTTAAAACAATCCCGAGAGGCGTTTTACATTGTAAACTAAAAAGTAAAACAGATTTGTGAAGCTGAAGTTTTTCATTTCAGACATCCTTAGCTAATAGTAAAACTGTTCTAACCTGATAATTAAACACACCTCGTAAAACCTGAAACTACTTTAAAGATCCGATTGACTGCAGAAACAAGCAACTGTTTTGAAATGAGCCTCTAATCCAATCACTGATTAAAGTCAGGAGATTAAACATCATGATCCACCTAGACTCTTTGGAGACTTTTTGACACTTTTTAAAAGTTTCCTTCATACTCGGACTCACTTCTGGTAAGGATTTGTGATCCTCTCAAACTCTCAATAAATACTGTCGAGCACTTCCATTTTTTTCTTTCCTTACTCACTTTCCTGAATAGTAACTCTTAGAAAATGGAGACTGTCTCTTTTCAATAAGGCAGCTCCAGGAGGCACAGAGAAATGACAGAAGGCACAGGATATAAACGTCCTCTGGGAGCAGAAACAGGGGATAAAGCAGCGTCCTCCTGTCTGCTCTCTATAATAACTTTCAGAGGGTGTTTTCTAATAACGTATTCCTATAAAGACACTGATCCCTCAGGTGAGCTCGGAGTGTTTGGTCTGAGGCAGCAGCAGAGCCACCAGCCCTCCGGTCAGCAGCAGGGCGGACACCAGCAGGATGGGCACGGAACAGTTTGAGTCCACCAGCATTCCAAAGGCTATGTTCCCCATGATGGCAGCGACTCGGCCCACTCCTGTGAAGAAACCCAGAGCGGAGGACCTGAAGGGAGAAGAGAAACACAAAACATGTGAGCAGCTGATTGTTAGAGTAGAACAACTATAAATATGTGCAACAATGCTATTTCTCCATTTATTTTCTTTATGCTCAGATTTGTCATTAAGTCTTCAAAAAGAAATCTAAACCAATGCTTAAGTTGCTTTTCTGGGCTATGCTGAATTAAAGTTAAAAACTACAAACTGTACTGTTACATTTCATTCTTATTGGTAGATGGACATTTTGTGATCTTGTAAATCCCCATCAGGGTTGATAAATATGCATTTATCCCACCCTTAGCACTAGAACCGCTAACGGGTCAGTTTTACCCGCAGCTGTTTTTTGATTGTATGTAACTTTTTTTCAATAAAATATTCAAGTCTCCCAGTCTGTGACTTTTCCTGAAAGTGTGTTATGTAGCACCCATTGTTGTTAAAAATGGTCAATATGAAGTCTGATTGAAAAAAACGCCCAAAAAAACGCCATTTATACCTATATCAGCCAGCGGGTCATATTTACCTGATAGAAAATGCAGCGTAAACATGACGTGTTGCTATAGCAACGCCTTTTGTCTACTGCAGTCCCTTATAGATAGAGAGATAGATTGAGAGAGATTTGTACCTAAACAAAACACAAGTCTAACACCAAGCGTTTAAATCAGCACTGGTAGCGATATGTTATACTTCATGCTATCTGCACAAACTATATCATATGAAAAGCTGAGAGTCCACATATTCTATTGGTATAAGTTTCATCCCTGTGCGATCACAACTCACTGTTCTGTATGATAAATAAAAGAACAGTGTACCTTGAAAATCAATAGCGAGTAAATTTGACCTGTTGGCGGTTTTAGGTATACAGCGACCTCTGGCGGTTATAGTGTTAAAAGTGCAACAAATAAGTGTAATAAGCCAGATGAACTGAAAAACGTGTGTGTTCAAAGGCTGTAAAGAAAGTTACCTCATCTGTGTCGGGTAGAGCTCAGTTCCCAGCACATCCAGAGAGTTCCAGGCGATCACCGACACCCCGCTGAAGATGCAGGAGAGAAGAAGAGTCTGGGCTTTGGTCTGCACCACGTAGATGAAGAAGACACTGACGCTGGACACCATCAGGCTGACGGCTGCACACACAACCAGGAGGTGAGGAGATTCAGGGATCATTATTCAAAGTTTTCAACTGGATATGCTGAAGGACAATTCTTAGGTGCATAAATGTTGGTACAATATTGATAAAAAGCTTTAAAGACTCACACAGTAGAGCCTTTCCTCCCGTGGTGTCCATGATGAGGATGGTGAAGATGTTTCCCGGTAAGTTTGAAGCAGCGACGATGAAGCCCTCTATGTACACTGAGGAAGAGATACAGGATACATCCTTTCATCAATTTCTATAGCAGACTATTCTGAGGTATTCAGGGGACTGGAGGCTTTCCCAGCATGCAGTGGGGTAGGACACAATCTGTACTGCTTTATCTAAAAAGGTGTGTCATTTTCCCAGAAGCCCACCTGCTGTTTTGACCGGGTAGCAGCTCTGGTTGTGGAGCAGAGACGGAAGAGAGGCATTGGCACAGGGCGAGCCGCCGTCCTCTACCCTCTTAAACAACTCTGGGAACCACATCCACAGCCCGTAGTAACTACACACACACACACACACACACACACACACACACACACACACACACACACACACACACACACACACACACACACACACACACACACACACACACAC